GGAATAGAACAGGTGAAATAGTGTAGTGCGAAGTGGAAGATATACATATTTCTAAACCGAATCATAATGAGAATATGGTGAGCTAGAAGTATACATACATTGCAGAAATTTCTTTGTCTCCGGATTATAAGAAGCTTTGGCAGGATGTAGAATTCCTCCATGAGGAATATTTTTGCTTGGCCACTCCATCGCTGAAATATCTTTTATTCAAATTTGACACTATATTGATACATTCGATATGTTTCTTGACTACTTGCAAGAATATACTGTTTTGTTACATTTAGGATGTCATAGCAACAACGAAAGGAAGAGATACAAGGTTGTACTAGGTATGATCGATAACCTTGTCAACACACGTCTTTTCAATTGATATCCATTGGATATCAGTTTTGAACATTTGGCATATTCGGAGAACATCTATACTTGATATTCGATGTATATTCAATTGAAGTCTAATGAATGTTCCGAGTGTAAGATGGTAGACGTACCTATATATCCTTAGGAATGTCCATATCCATGATATGTTTTCAGAGGATATCCTCGAGATATTCCCGCAATGATGTCCACAATATTGTTCACAAATATCCACAAGATCTCCTCCAGAAAAAGTTTTTTCCCCATATGACATCGCAAGTGGCTTTTTCATAACACTCAACAGGCAGAGATGAAGTTTGTTGCTATGCAAACGTTTCAAGTAATTTGAATAAAATTAGTTATCGAAATTGACAATGACATTGGGTGAATACATACTGAGTTATCATTTTATAATTACACAAGAGTTTTTTTTGTCGAAGTGAACTTGACATATATCAATAATAATTTTGTTGCCTGGCAATCTGACGAAAAAAACTGCCTCTGGGAAAATTACGAGTCCGTAGGACGAGTAATATTTTCTGGAAGTTCTTTGAGTTGAATTACCTAATGGCAACAAAATTCGAACTATAAAAGCCAAGTTTACTTTGACTAAAAAAAAACTAGAGTGTAATTTGGTAAGACAATTTAATTAATCAAACATTTGATTATAACTGGTTGTCATGCTTTCAAAAGTTAGGTTTCTTCATTGTCGCTGGAAAGGTAAGGTCAAACTTGTTTCCCTATCATTATAGAATTATAAATGATGATATTCAATTGATTGTAGAAAATCAAACAATAAATCCATCACAAACCACAACATTTTTAGAACTCGACATAGATAGTAATCTGAATTGGTCAGAACACATAAAGCAATCAAAGAAGAAATTGAGCAAAGCTATATTCGCCCTTTGCACTATTATAGGATGAGTAAAAGTAGTGACGTCGCAAAAATAGTTTATTATGCCTATTTTCACAGCCTTCTGCAGTTGTACTCCATTGCTGAAATATCCTCTATTCAAATTTGACACTATATTGATACATACTGTTTTGTTACATTTAGGATGCCATAGCAACAACGAATGGAAGAGATACAAGGTTGTAGTAGGTGTGATCGATAACCCTGTCAACACACGTCTATTCAATTGATATCCATTGGATTTCAATTTCAAACATTTGGCATATTCGAAGAACATCTAAACTTGATATTAGATGTATATTCAGTTGAAGTCTAATGAATGTTCCGAGTGTCAGGAGTTGGACGAACCTATATCCTTCAGGAATGTCCATAATAAAGCTTTCAGGAATATCCATGATATATGTTTTTCGAGGATATTCTCAAGATATCCCCGCAATGATGTCCACGGAATATTGTTCACAAATATTCACAAGATCTCATTTAGAAAAAGTTCCTTCCCCACATGACATCGGAAGTGGCTTTTCATATAACATTTAACAGTCAGATGAAGTTTGTTGCTATGCAAACGTTTCAAGTGATCTGAATAAAATTAGTTAGGTATCGAAATTGACAATGACATTGGGTGAATACATAGTGAATTATCAGCTTATAATTACACAAGAGTTTTATTTTGTTGAAGTAAACTTGACATATATCAATAAGAATTTTGTTGCCTGGCAATCTGACGAAAAAAACTGCCTTTGGAAAAATTACGAGTCCGTAGGACGAGTAATATTTTCTGGCAGTTCTTTGACCCAGCTAGCATTCACACGTCAATTTCACGTCATATACACTTCACCAATTACGTCAAGATCACCAAATTATCGATGTGAAGGAGACGTAAATGTGACGTCAAAATGTCACATCGAAACGACGTCATTTACACGTCGAATAGTTACCAAGCATCAGATTCAGGTTTCGACATCACCAAGAAACTGTGAAACTCGAAATCACTTTTCCATGATCCTATTCCTTGATGGTTGGCAACATAGTTCAAATGATCTAGTTACAATAGTTGTGGAAATTTTTTATTTGATTACATAATTATACATAGATATTCTTCATCTGAATAAAACTAATAAGCATAAAATCCACTATATTCCATAGTATATGTAGACATTAACGAAGATTGTAGACAATGAAACAATGAATCCATCACAAACCACACTATTTCAGGACTCACCATTGATAGTAATCCAAATTGGTCTGAACATATAAAACAATTGAAGAAGGAATTCAGCAAATCTATATTCGTCATTCGCACCTTAAGGATGAATACAAGTAGTGACGTCGCAAAAATAGTTTATTATATTTGCCTATTTTCACAGCCTTTTGCAGTTTGGTATTGTGTGTTGGGGTACTTCTGTTGAATCAACATCTACCTTCATAATACTGAAACGTGCGATTCGAACAGTATTCAATCTGAGGTACAGAGTCTCGCTTCTGATCCACGAGAATAGAGATTTCATGTTGCGCCCAGAAAACATGCATTCATACTCAACCAGAAACCCGCAGTCTATAATCCTGCCAAATTACCGACTCAATAGAACTCGTAAAAGAGACCCCTGTTCACAGGAATTAATATTTATAATCACCTCCCGGAAGCATTGAAAGTTACTCTCTATGAATAAATTCGAGATCGAATTGAAAATCTCAATACACCAACATATTTTCTATATATTATTTTTATGTTCTGGTTCTGGAAAGGGATATCCTGTAATGTTCAGAGAACATCGTGAGATTATAACCAAGGGAAATAAAATATGAATTGATGTTCCTCTTAAATTTCTGGAGGTTATATGCCTTGGGGAACACCTCTCCATTTGCAATGTGTTCCAGAGACTCGCTGTTCGTTGCATGAACGAGTCTTTGGAAAGAGATGTTCTGCAGGTTTCCAAAGTGACAACAAACCCAGACAGCACTGGATATTCCTAGAATATTCTCTAGATATGCTAAAAGGGAAGAATATATTCCGAATATCCTTCGAATATTCTTAGATTATATACGTACCTCTGGAACATTCAAGGAATATTCAAATGTGAATATTCTAGTAATATTCCAAAATGAATATACAGGGAATATTCCAGAAGGAATATTCTGAAGTGAATATTCCAGGAATATTCCCAATTGAATATTTTGTTCCTGTATATTCATGGAATATTTCAATAATATTCCCATGTGTTTCAATAAAATTGTAAAGTATGAAAATTAACCAATCACAATTTTATAGATGTGAGTATTAAACATTGATTTTGAAATCTGTGGTTGAAGTCCATCGTATTTCAAAGTGAAGTGGTTATGTTACCAGGGATCAAAAACAAAAAGTCGTCTCCACAATTTTGATAGTGATCAAAGTACTCAATCAGATCATCGTACATGTTGAAAGCCCATATGGAACTGGAAGTGTTTATGGTTCCCATGGACGTATAAATGGTTCCCTTCTGAACAACGCAATTCAATAAATTGTTATGTACATTATTATCGATTATTATTCAACTCGATTACTGGCCAAGTGGTTAAGGCGTTGATCTGACAGTCTGAAAGTCCCGAGTTCGAGCTCATCTTGGGTCAGCTTTTTTTAATTATGAATATGTATTACGGAATATTCCCGGAATATTTATTTATTTATATTCCTGTATTATTCAAGGAATATTCCGAATATTATCTGAATATTCTTAGAATATTATAGGTACATTCTGAATATATAGGGCATATTCCTTGTGTAATATTTCGGGAATATACAAAATTTTCCCCACCAGCACATTCAGGGAATATTCCATAGTTGATATGTATATCCCTGGCATGTTCATGAATATTCGCAACATCCGAAAAGAATATTCTAAGAATATTCATGGAATATCTGGTGCTGTCTGGGAAAGGGTGCGAAGCCTCAACTCGACGGGTCAATCTCGCGGGGATTGTCAATGGAGAAACAATTGTTGATAAAGATACAATATTACCAGTCTGTATAGGTATACCTGTTACCTGCAAATATATTACGAATCTGTATCTTTTGGAAAATGAAAAATCTATCTATCTATCTCATTCCACTGATCATATTCATAATTAGAAAAATCTAACCCAAAATGGGCTCGAACTCGTGACTTTCAGATTGTCAGCAGAGCGACATCCCAATTGAAATTCTGGTGATGGCTTTGTGTTCTTGATTCCTGGTAATTAACCACTACACTTTGAGATTTGATGGATTTCTACCACATATTCATCATAATAAATGTTTAATACTCGCATCTATGAAATATTATTTATAATGTGATTGGTTATATACTATACTATATTTCCTTTAAACACATGAGAATAATAATTATGGAATATTCCATGGATATACAAATCAGAATATCTAGTTGAGAATATTTCCGGTATAAACATATCTGAATATTCCCTGAACAATCAAACTGGAATATTCTTGGAACATCAATCTCTGAATATATTACTTGAATATTCAAATTCGAATATTCTTTGGATATTCCAGAGGAACACATATATTCTAGGAATATTCGGTGAATATTTCGGAATACACTCTTCCCTTACAGCATATTTTGGGAATATTCTAGGAATATCCAGTGCTGTCTGGGATCCAGTGACTCTAGGCTGACCTCTTCTTGCTCCCGGGTATCAGTATATGGTACGGTACTTTCAGAAACACCCTGTACCATATTTATCGTGCATTCTCGCAGTCATTTGCCGCGCTTGGCAGCAACTGTTGGCAATCCTGAATCGGATCAATATTCCAGTTTCAGTGGGTTGAAGGAGCGGTACGGTAACATGTAAAATTTCCTGAAAATTCTTTCAGTTATTCTTCGTGTAATGCCAGAAACTGATTCGGTGTTGATGCTCTGGAAAATCAACAGGATGTGATTGGTTTATGAGATAATGATATCATTCGCTGGACTATAGATAAGTGAGTAGAAGAGCTATATATTATATATTCAGAGAATTGATCATTCATTTATTCGATTGCTCTATTACTTAATTATTGCACTTTGACCTCATTCAAGCCTAATAAAGAACAAGCTGAATCTCAAACATTTAGGTAGATATTTGACTACCCAATAAATAGGATGATCAGTGAATATATTGAATAGATATATTTCAATAAAGCTGATGCTGTTCCACAAGAATTTAATTTCCTTCTTGCCCATTAGTTCAAGAAACATTCTTTGGGTTTTTGGCAAATGAGATTGAAAAGAGGAATATATCAGCCTTCACAAATGTCAAAGTTGACATCAAGAGATGATCATGAAACAATTATTTTCGATATTGATAGACGTTTGAAGTACATCAATTATACAGGGTATCCTACAGGTTAATCGAAACATTCTAGGAGCTGGCGAGAGACGACATTTGGAACCTATTATAGTGTCCATATGTCCTAAGTCTTGCAGTTTTCCACATATATATGTATACTTGTCATTTTCTCTTTCTGCAAATTATTCTCTCTCTCTCTCTCGAAGGTTATAAGTTCTTGGAATACTTCCATTAGCAAATGATTCCAAAACTTCGCCGTTCTATTCACGAACGAGTTTTGGTAGAGTGTTGTTCTTCATTTTTCAAGGTTGAAGACGAAAGAATGTGCTGACTGGGCCTGTAGAGCTTTTCTATTTGGTATTGCTACTTTATTTATTCATTTATCTGAATGTACTTCGTCCAAGAGCTCGCGCCAATTATAGGACGCAAACTTAAACATAAAACAAATGTATAAATCGACTGATACTAGAATAAACAATGCCTAATTTGACTAAGAAATTGATAGATTGGGTATATTCATAAAAACCATATACATATATAGTTACATAACAAAATATACTAGATACCAACAATTTAATAACTTTGCACTTACAACTACTAATATGTTGAGAACATCACAGAAAAATATATGTATATATGATCAGGATTCATAACAATAAACCTCCTGTAGCTTGTGTGACGCACGTCGAAACATGCCCCAAACTACTATGGTGGATATCACAGCCTCTACATATTTTATCAAAATCAATTCTGTCTCCTAGGTGGATATACACCAGTTATTTTGTATTTCAGGAATTTCAACAATTTTCTTTGTACTTTCACTACTTCATCACTATGAACCTGCAAAGTGTGGATTCCAAATCAAAGATCCGTATTCAAGCATTGATCTCACAAAAGATCCGTGAATGATCTTCAGCTTCTGATTATGAATCCAAGAATTTTAAGAGCTTCATTAGTAATGAGATTATGGCAGAAGTTTTTTGAGGATAGTTTCCCATGCAAGTATCTATGGGGAAGTCACAGGTCGCCGAATTTCCTACGGTGTTCTAATGGGGTCAAAGTGTTAGTGAGTGTGGCATCACCCACCAGGCGAATGACTCTTCTCTCGAATGGAATCTAAGAGCATCAGTGTACGTTTGGATGCTGAACCCCATACATAAGAACAGTAGGTATTTTGAAAATGGCCGTATCTGTGCTTTGTAGATCATGAGGAGCTGTTGGGGTGTCAAGTAGATTATCGCACGAAACAATAATCCGAGATTTTGTGAAGCAGCTCTTGCGATGGACCGGACATGATTTTTCCATGAGAGAGTATCGCTGATGGTAATACCCAGGATAGATATAGTAGTCTTGGTGGGAATGGTGGTACAAGATATTGTTATATCGGGCATACTGAGTTCCACCTTTCTAGAGAAAATACAGGCTTTAGTTTTGGTGGCGTTGAACTCAACTAGGTTGTTGGTTCCCCAGGATGTAATTTACGCGAAATATGCATTGACAGCGTTGCATGGCCTGCCTCCGTCGTAAGTAAGAATATCCTGTAATGTTCAGAGAAAATCGTGAGAACCAAGGGAAATAAGGTAGGAGAATAGGTGTTCTTCTTAAATTTCTGGAGGTTATTCGACTCGAAGAACACCTCCCTTGGCAATGTGTTCGAGAGGCCCGCTGTTTGTTGGAAGAACGAGTCTTTGGAAAGAGATGTTCTGGAGGTCTCCAAAGTGACCACGAAGGGGTGCGAAGCCTCAACTGGACGGGTTAATCTCGCGGGGACTGCCGAGGGAGGAACAATTGTTAATATTTCAGAAGAGCATCGTCTATAAAAATATCTATAAAATTGAGCCAGATCTCCAACTTTTCTGCAGTGTTCCAGAGAAGTAAGTGAGTTTGTGAGCGAGGCATCACCCACGAGACGAATTGCCCTTTTTTGGACAGAATCCAACAGTTTCAGGGTATATTTTGGGTGCTGCACCCCAAATATGGGAACAATATTCCAAGACAGGTCTGATCTGTGCCTTGTAGATCATAAGCAGCTTACTGGAAGTAAAATAGCTCCTGGCTCGAGACAGAAAACCAAGTCTTTGGGATGCACTTTCAGCAAATGATCTCACGTGATTTTCCCAAGAAAGATTATTGCTGATGAATGATACCAAGCATCGAAATGGATGTCTCCAAAGGTATGATTACTCCTGACAAGTTTATGTTGGGCACAGTTAGACCGGCTTTTTTAGAGAAAAGGCATACTTTTGTCCTGTTTGCATTGAAATCTATTGGATTCTCATTCGAGAATTGTTGCGAAGCCCATATTTATGTTGTCAACATTCCGCCCTCGTTCGTATCTGATTTGCCTGGCTGGTATTGGAGCCCTGGTGAAGAATAAGGCGGTATGGAGGGTACTATCATCCGCGAAGCTGTGTACTGGACATGGAGTTGCTCCCAACAAATCGTTGCGATGGAGTAGAAATAGTATTGGTGCTAGAATTGATCCTTGCGGAACACCAGCATTTATGATGAGAGAGCCAGATGAAACTCCGTCGACCACTACATGGAGAGACTTTTTCAAGGAAAAACTAGCTAGTAGAGAACATAGCTGGGGAGGCAAGCCATAAGATGGAAGCTTGGCGAGGAATCCGTGGTGCCAGACTCGATCGAATGTCTTGAAGATATCAAGTGCCACGGATAAGGTTTCACCATATTTTTCAATAGATTGCGGCTATACAGGGTTTTAACAAATAAGTGTCACAACGGAAAACTGTAGATTGCTCATGAAAAAAGGACATATTTCTCCCTTTCGAAATTTTTCTCCGGGCTTTTGTTATCAAGATACAGGGCGTCAAACAAATACAAAAAAATCTGTTTTTTGCTACTATCTCAGGAACCGTCTGAGCTACGGAGTTGAGCCTACGTACATACTTCATCATCAATATTGCCTACTATTAGGGCTCTTGATCAATTTTCTTGGACATTTCAGTGGAGGAGAATTCAACGCCTCGAAAGGGTTTGACTCCCCCCATTTATGCCACTGGAGAAACTGTAATTTTCAAAGTAGATTCTGAAGCGCCAATATATATACACATATATACATACAAAATCTTGATGGTATCTCCAAAACTCGTCTAAAAATCCAATCAAATGTCAAGTTTTTGAGTATGCTGGTCTCGATGCTGGTTTTCGAATTGTTAAATTTATTAAGTGTTGTAAAGTGTGTTTAATTAAACTGAACATTTTGATTTTTTGACGCCCTGTATCTTGAAAACGGAAGCCCAGAGAAAAATTTTGAAGAGGAAAGAAATGTTTCTTTCATAATTAGGAATCTACAGTTTTTCGTTGAGATACTTATTTGTTAACACCTTGTATGTGAGACGTGATTGAGCAGGTCACTAGTTGATCTCTGATGACAGAAGCCATATCGTCTATCGTTGATAATACCTGAATGTTCTAGGTATTTCATGAGCTCGATGTTCATAGCTATCTCTCCATGATCTTTGAACCAATAAATAGCAGTGCGATCGGTCTGTAGTTGGTAGGTAGAGTCTTTCTTCCTTTTTTTAGGAACTGGTTATACTCTTGCAATTTTCCAGTTGGACGGGAATATTTCCAATTCGTAAGAGTAGTTGAACAATCTGCAGAGAACAGGTGTTAGTTCGGGAGCACATTTCTTGAGAACAATCGGTGGAATTCCGTCGGAGCCACAAGCTTTGTTGGTGTGGAGACCCAATAAAATCTCCCTTATAGTACGTATAGTATAGTATAGTATCGGGAGTTTCATCGTCTATAATGAAATTGTGGATAGGGCAAGTGGTTGCTCCTAATAGATCGTTGATATGAAGTAGGAACAATGTTGGTGCCAAAATTGATTCTTGTGGAACGCCAAAATTGATGGCGATGGTTTCAGACGATACTACGTTCACCACCATATGGAGCGATCTGCCTGAAAGTAAACTCAACAAAAGATGCCATAGCGGAGGTAGTTAGCCGTGTGATGGTAGTTTGTGAAGGAGTCCTTGGTGCCAAACACAGTCGTCAATGCTTTCGATATTCCTTACGCTATACTGCTAGATATTCTTCATATTCTCCTAATGATGCTCGCAATATATGAGTGACGTAGGCAAGTAAATCTCCAGTTGGAAAACCAAATTGTTAGTGTTACCTTGTAGTATCTAACAAATCATTTCATTTGCTATTTTGTTCTTCAAAATCAGATATACTGGGTGTACCTGGATTATGGTACACCATACTTTTTCGATCATTTCAATTTGGTGATGAATCAATAATTTCTGAAAGAATCTGATGTTTTTGCATCACACCTGTTGATATGAGTACATCAGTGTCGATCAGATAAGTCATGGCACACTAAGATGGAAAATCAATATTGAAGTTCAGAATGTCACTTATATGATATCATTTAAATTAGGAAATTCATTGATATACAGAGTGTCCAACGTAGGTGATCCATTATACTTACAATGGAGGTGATATAAATCAGGAGGGGTGATAGAATTCACAGTCACAACTCCATCATTCAAACAATTCAATGATGAACATAGGTCATGGACATGTTTCGAAGGTTTAATCCTTCATCATCAGCAAATTTATAAAAAGATGATAATCTCTAAAAAGAAAACAACGCTTATATCAGTTCCTCAGTATTGCTAAAATATATTATATTAGAATATATTCAGTGCGATATTTTTGGAAAGTTCTTCGAATGGTCTGTCTAATCGTGGGGAAAAATATAGAGTGTTTATTGAAAATTTGTACACTTTCTACTGCTCCTTGTATATCTTCTCATAATAGTGAAGATGTTTCTTGCGTTCAAAGAAGCTCCTGTCAAAATTAAAATAGTTACAGGAGACTGGTACTTTATATCGTGTCACCCAGTATTTGAGAATGTATCTACTGAAAAGACATAGATACCTGCCTATCGTTATTGATACCAAAACAGAAAACACAATAAAATAGGCTATCGTTATGTAAAATAGTGACGGTGGCGGCGGCACATCCAGTATAATATATAGAAGGCAATTATTTAATGAAAGATAACAATACTTTTGGATAGTAGAATGATAAGAAAGCGAAACATTTTGCTTCCCATAAGGAATAATGAGGCCACGTGCCCAGAATCTCTTTCAATAATTTTTATAGTAATCAAATTCGATGTCAGTTGTAATTCAGATGAAAAAAACTGTATTTTGTGGACGCATCTTCAATTTTGAGACAAAATCATCATATATATTGATCCCGGGCCAGGTAGCCGTGCGGACAGAGTGTCCATATTCTAATCCGCATTCGCTTGCCGGTCGTGGGTTCGAGTCCCGTCGACTGCAGAAATTTTTCTGATGGCCCAAGAAAGTGTTTGGGATCACACGTTAAAAGGTAAGGCCCTCGTCATTCCTTGCTCGCACAAGACTCTCGAAGACTTCTGACGGTTGCTCGTAAGGGGGCAACCGAATGACGGATAGAACAATTTTAGAACAACAATTTTTGAACAATTGATAAATTGGCTGTTTCTTATATTGTTCACGTACGCGAGTATCAATAATTCCGCGTTCCTGAGAATGCGTCCATTGATGGATATTCATCTTTCGTTTATAATTATTCGAATCTGCATCTTCATGATTCCAAAATTGAATAGGTTATATTTTTTTTTCTTTACGGCTATTTATAACACGACAAGCTAGTGAATTTTTCTTTTAGGCTCTCTGATAGGAAAATTCTTTAAACGCAGTGACATTTTGGGGCAAATCATCTGATTTGTCCTTACTACACGTATATTGAAATAATATTCATATTTTTATTTTATAGAAACGAGGAGAGAAAATCCCAAAAAAAATTTGGAATAACGAAATTGCTGTGTTCGATAAATCAATGAGGTACTTTGAATATCATCAATTTCAATTCCGTATCTGGTACCACAATGACTTCATTGTGTGATCATCTCACGAGATCTCATCTCCCATGCAATGTCAAAGTTCATGCAGTGACAGCTCTGTCTAATAGATGAGCATAACGCAAGACAAAATCAGATAGCTACAAACCGAAGCTATAAAAAATTTCGCTGCTATCGGTTACAGCCGTAGAAGTATTGTGTATGATTGTATGATTTCTTCATTCTAGTGGAAAATAGATCCATGCTTGTTGAACAATATACTATTTCGTATCTAGTGCGCGAAATGCTACTTTGGTGACCGAGGAGTGATTTTTGAACGAGGCGCAGCGCAGTAGAAGAAGTGGTCGGGATCACCAGAGTATTTCGCGCACGAATCACAATGTAACAAAATATTTTTACTTTTTATATGAAAAATAGTGATAACCTGGCACAAAAACCTTTAATTATTTAAAAACGAATGAATGTTCTCTTCGATTTTTGATCGATTGAGGTCCATAAATATTATGATATGGAAATCTGATATAGCTCACTTGCAGCGCATGGAAAATATATTTCACGCACTAGTTCGCGCCAGCTGTCGTAACGTAGGAACCTGCAAAAAGGGGCAGTTCCTATATTGATTGATATCATTATTGCGCGTAATTCTTGGTTTCCTGTATAAAAAAAACATTATTCATCAGTCAAGTGAAAAAGAAACAGAAAGTAGTAGGAAAATTCACTTTATCTTTAGATATTCTGGCACTCACAGAAACTCAAGTGAACTCCTGGTTACAAACTTCATTCTCGATTTAGGCTCAAAGGTGGAGTCTGCCTCTACGCTGAGGCTAACCTCTCATGCCAGCGTGTAGAGAGTTTGGAACCGAAAGAATTTGATGTGATGTGGTTCAAGCTGGTGGATACCAAACTGACCAAATTTATCTTACCTATCCCCTAATGATGATGAATATCCAGCAGCTGAAATCATAATCATGAGAGACTTCAAAGTACACAACAGATGATGCAGGTCGTCAAACTGAGGCCTTCGTCATCACTCATGGTCTAGAACAACTAGTCGAACTACCAACCTCGCCAAGCTTTCAGCTTATTGCTTGCCTCCCCAGCTATGTTCTCTGCAAGATAGTTTTCTCTCAAATAAGACTCTCCATGTAGTGGTCGACGGAGTTTCATCTGACTTATCATGAATGCAGGTGTTACGCAAGGATCAATTCTAGCACCAACACTATTTCTACTTTATATCAACGATTTGTTGGAAGCAACTTCATGTCCAGTACACAGCTTCGCGAATGATAGTACCCTCCATACCGCCTTCTATTCTAGGGCTCCAATACTATCAGCCAGGCAAGTCAGAAACGAACGAGTAATGAATGTTGACAACATAAATATAGCTTTAGCAACAATTTTCGAATAGGGATCCAATAACTTGGTAGATTTCAATGCAAACAAAACACAAGCATGCCATTTCTCTAGGAAAGCCGATCTCACTGTGCCCAACATAAGCTTGTCAGGGGTAACCATACCCTTGAAGACATTCATTTCGATGCTTGGTTTCACTATCTGCAATAACCCTTCTTGAGGAAATCACGTGAGATCAATCGCTAAAGGTGCATCCCAAATAGTTAGTTTTCTGTTTCAGGCCATGAGCTATTTCACTCCCAGTCAGCTGCTTATGATCTATAAGGCACAGATTCGACCTGTCCTATAATACTAATCCCATATTTGGAGTGCAGCACCCGAACATACCCTGAAACTGTTGGGTTCTGTCCAAAAAAAGGGCAATTCGTCTCGTGGGTGATGCCTCGCTCTCACAAACTCACTCACTCCTCTGCAACATCGAAGAGAAGTTGTCGATCTGGCTATATTTTATAGATATTTTCATGGACGAAGCTTTTCTGAAATATCAACAACTGTACCTCCCTTGATCCCCACGAGATCAACCCGTCGAGTTGAGGTTTCGCACCCCTTCGTGTTCACTTTGGAGACCTGCAGAACATCTCTTTCCAAAGACTCGTTCATCCAACGAACAACGAGGCTCTGGAACACATTGTCAAGGGAGGTGTTCTCCGAGGCATATAACCTTCAGAAATCCGAGGAGAACACCAATTCCTACCTTATTTCCGCTTATTTCCTTCGGTTCTCACGATGTTCTCTGAACATTACAGGATATCCCTTTTCGTGGGAACCAGAACATAAAAAAACTGTTAGGTTTTGAATCTTCATCTTTATTCTTCAGTAGCCACGATGCCTCTGAGGAACATCATCCACCGGGCGTCCGCCTTCATCCTGGGACCGCCAGAGGGCGCTGGTCCCGAAAGTTTTCGCTACGCGGACAACGAGATCCTCTTCTGCAAGAACAACGTCTGCGTGCATCCACCCGCCGCGGCAAGGCAGGATTCAGATGTGCTGCACCATCCTGGTTATCTGACAGTCACAACTAAGGTGAGGAAGAATGAAGGGTATGGACGTTATAGTTACAACTCAGCAAACACGACAAACCTGCCGATTCAATGGCCCATTTTAATCGATGGCATACTAGTCCAGTAACTTTGTCGAACATATGGGGGTAGTATGCGTCGAACCCGGTAGCTCTGATTCTTTGCAGACATGTTTATGATGTCGGCCTCATGAATGATCCAAATTTGTGACCTTGAGCACCGAACGCAACTTTCTCAAAAATCGAAAAAACCGCGAAAAAATCGTAATTTTTTTAAATTTTTGCGACTATAACCCTGAAGGACTAGTTTTTGAAAAAAAAATCTCTCAGTACGTTTTAAAAGCAGATCAAATTTGCAACAATATAATACAAAAACTGTCTCTGTAGACCCAATAGTTTTCGAGATTAAGCCTTTGAAAGTTTATAATTTTTTTCAAACTGCAATTTTTTGCGGATGATTTCTTGCGGCTGCACGAAGGGTTGTGGGAACGCGTGCAGCTGCAGGAAGTCAGGATTCGAATGCTCATCAGTAATGCAGTGGGGCCTCTTGTGAGAATGTACCTGATGTTGTAGTACGAGATATCCCAGAAGGCGACGATCTGTCCGATGTTGAAATGAAAGATGACTTGTGGGCAAAAGACGTGGACGATTCATCACCATCCCCTGATGGGGATATGCCATCCCAATACGTCGATCCTGATCCAGACGAACCTCAACCGGGACCTTCCAAGAGGGCTAAATTGATCTAATTCCTCGATCTTTAATATCACTCTATTTCCTAACAAATAAACTCATTAACTTTTGATTTTGATTTGCAGCTTTTTCTTGGGGTTTGGATTCGGTTTCATAAATAATTCAAAGGATTATAAGAAAAACGTTTCGCCCATGGCCGTGGGCTTTGTCAATTCATTGAATTTTTTTAGCTCCCAACCAATTCATAATTCCGGCGATTGTGTTTTTCTGTTGAACATTTTTTTTTTCTTCTTTCTTTATACAAACATACTGGTAAGTACTTTTTATTTTCTTTTTTCTTTTGGAAAGAGTTGAAATATTTTTGTTGCATCGTTTTATGTGAAATAGAAAAACGAGGAAAACTACAATACAAATAATTGTAAATAGTTATAAAAGAGAGTAAACATGGCCTACTGCATAAATTTTTTTTTCTGAAGATTGAGGCTGTAAAATGAGAACGATGACGACTATTTTGACGAAATCATAGCAGATATGCTTCAAAAAAAGCAGCGCCCTAAAAATAATATGTTTTAACCAGTTTGATTAGGATGTGAATTTAAAAAAAAAATCAGAAAAGTTGACAAAACTGTATGAATATTTGCTGAATATGGGTGAATCGTTCGGAAAATGTGGAAAAACAACATTTTCGACGGCAGTATCAGTGAATCTTCTTTATTTTCTGCTTGAAATTTTTATTTCCATCAATGGCCGACATCTGTTTGTAGTAAATATAGCTCGAAATATACTTAAAACCAATTTTCTTCCTCTAATAATTAAAACGGTTAGGTAATGATGAGGCCTTTTATGAGACGACTTCCTCCTGTTGAAGTACTCATTGCATATTTGAATCCATTTCCATGACAATTTGTTCCTGGGTATGACAACAAAGCTTCGAACATGATGAAAATTGTTTCAAGAAGGATAGAAGATAATGCCTCCATAAAACTATAATGCTTTGAAAATATCCTGGCTAGTGCTCATCGGGCAGTGTGACATAATGTAGAAAAACGTCATCAATATGATCAACATAGCCCTACTTTTGTTATTCACAGTGTTCAGTTTGTGGATTTTATGATTGGTTTCAAGTGAAAAACCGAGTAGGAAACATAGACAAACTGCACTCAGTGCAGTTCGCCTGATATTGTTTTGAATGCTCCATTCTCTCAAATTCATGCAAAACTCGCTATCTGACATAATTTGTGCAGAACTCTTGTCATCTTCCTCGCTTCCTATAGTTTCCATTCAGATATATCAGTAGTATTTTTCATTACCTAGGTTCTGACTCGATGATGGACTATTTGGTGGTTTCAGTAGTTGGGATGACTTGAAAGAGGTAGTGTTTGGAATTGCTTGGGCTTGAGAATTCCGATTTACTGTTGGTCTCATGAGTTGATTTTTGATTCTCAAGTAATTTCCTAAATTTGTTGTCTTGAAGTTGCCATTTCTCTTTTTTGCACCATATATTTTCTTGTGAGTTCATTTCAACGTGAGTCGTTGTAGGCAAAGAAAAACGAACATTTATATCATGGGTTTAACACAGTTCTGAGAAAAAATCCTATAGATTTCATGATTGACTTCGATGAATTTATTGTGGCTTATAGGTTTCAATAATAACTTTCACATAGCTAGAATAATGCCATTAGGTTTCATTATAGCCTTAGTCAAATCCTAAATGGCCTAGCGAAAATTTGGTTTTATGTTTGCTTTATGAAGAATTTTCATTGGATCAGTTCAAAACCTCTTGGTCAAATTCGAGACACTAATGAAACTTGAGTTTTTTAAGAGGGTTGTTGAAACTGTATAGTTTTGATAAAGAATTCCAATGGCTTTCACAAAGCTCTCTCAAAACCGAAGTGAGCTGAATTTTAAATTGTTTTATGCGATAGTTCTATCATAGTATCTCAGAACCTTTCAATATAATTATATGGACATGAAAGCCAATTTGCTTCTTTGGGAATTGTAAATATTAGGATGTATCCTATATTGAATAAATTCTATTCTATTCATTCTATTCTTTCAGGGCATAAGACCTATCAGTTGCACTCACATAACCTCTTCAAAGGCTCATCTCATATTCAATTAACTCCCTAGTTCTAAAATGAATGAATATTATGTTCATAGAATAACGTGAACTTGATAAGGAACAAACAGTGAATTTCAAACAATTCCCATTTTGAAAATGATAAGTCCCAATTTGGAGTTGAAAAGATAAAGTTTCTCTGAGCTTCTTACTTTTGATTAAAGGTGTTCGTGGACCAGTACAACGAGTCCCGCAGACCCACCATGTTCCTCACCTGGATCCCCAACTCGGTACTAACGAAGCCCTCCGAAGAGGCTAACTCCCCTCTGAGGCACAAGGGCTCGAGTGTCGAGAGCCTCGCCTCCAACGGGTCCAGCGAGTGCTCTAATAGGTCGAGCGAGTGCTCGAACAGGTCCAGCGAGTGCTCTAACAGGTCAAGCGGGTGCTCGAACAGGTCAAGCGGGTGCTTAGATAGTGTCAGCGTGGGATCGAAGAACACCAATCCCTTCTTGGAGGGGGACAGAGAGTTGACGAGTTTGGAAGAGAGAGGCATCCGGGTGAATGTGGATATTTCTAGTCCGGGGATCGAGATAGTGCAGACGCCTGATGAGGGTCATGCACCGACACGCTTCGATTTTTCCGCAAGGTAAGTTTTCGCACGGTTGTTTCGCATCAACTCCTTCCTCAAAACACGTATTTTGGCTTATCTCATATTTTATACTTTTCCAGGAAGAGCTTTCGAAGTTCTTGATTAACTATGTAGGATATGCTTGTGATAATAATTGGCACAATGCTTTCAATTTGTACCTTGCAGGTAGGTACAGTCATATTCAATAAAAAAGCGTGCGAGTATTGAAAAGAGAGGATTTCGGGATCCTTGTTCTAGTTTTGTAAAACTGGCTCAGCCAATGCTTTTTGTTTTCGAGAACCTATGACAACTTTACTGTCAACATTTGGTGAACAATCATTCCCGATAGCCCGTTTCATGCAGAATAGGATGACGTTAATTTCTCTCTGTTACTTGTACGTTTTTTTTTCAATGCGACTGTACCGTCAGATGGGTATGTATGTACATACGCACTTATTGTGCTTGCAACGCCAAATGTTTTCAGTTAGTTCGAAAATTAATAACAAATGAGATAAGCCACTTTGTACCTATACTGTTTTCATTGCAAGATAAAGTTTGGTCACTTACGGCACTTGAGTTCTATATATGAATAAACGAAATGCGGCTTACAACACCTTTTTTAATCTTGCAATGATCCAAAAAAATACAGAACATGAAGTAACAATACAAAGCTAATAATTTTTGCTTCTTTACCTTGAATGTAACTGTGTGGGAGGGAAACATGAAAGTTTCTGTATTCGCTACTTTGACAACTGGAGTCACTCCTTGATCAATTGATTCACCCTCAGGAGAAACAAAAGGTATTTGAAAACTTCTGAAACCAATGTATTTCAAGTACTAGGTAAGTTATTACATTAGTTGCGTACAGGAGAATGTAACTCGTGAAATCATCATTCAAATAATTTTATAAACTGATCATTTTGCTCACAATTCATTTTTAGACCACATTTCATGAAGAAGCTCTAGAACAAATTTGAAAATGTTAAAGTTTCATTGGACCAAATAGGAAGGAATGTTGAATGTGAAATACTAATATTTCAGTCAAATTTCCTTGAATGAGCTCACCTTCATCATTTCATCAATCCTAGTAATAACTGAAGCACTCACAGTACTAATGGAGACACTGAAGATTTTTTCATCTGTTCAAAAATGTTCCATTCTATATTTGAATTCACATCCAGATTTCAACTGATGAATTGGCTGAAAGAGAGGAAGTATTCGTAGCTGTCGTGACACGAGATTGTTGTCCTGTACATGAGTTTGCATCAACAGCCCAACTGAGAATAATTGAACATGTCTTTGGGACGCAAGATCTCTGACCAATGCTCTTAGAGGAAAAAAATCCGCAAATTGTCGAACAACGATGAGTAGGCGCTGCAAAGCCCCAAGTAGGTTCGTCACATATTATTTTCGTGGCAGGCTGACATTTTGTATCACAATAATAAAAAAAATAATGCTGCCCCAGAGTGGCTGCCTGATAGTGACAGCAGTATACCTTCCTGTGGCAGAAAATTCATTTTCAGCATGATTGTTATTGTTATCATGAAATTTCAATGTGCTGCTTCTATCCGAAGATAGGTAACGGTAATAGGATTTCGTGTAACGGTAACAAAAAATGTTCCACCAAAAACTCTTATAGCACAATGCGGTAATAAACTCAACAATAATGTTACCCAGTGAATATGGTAGATAATAAATAAATTGGCAATAATATTCAACGAAATATAGCTAGTTAAAATTGACATAGTATCGCAGTGAATTTTAAACTTTCAGACTCAACTTATTAGTTCAGTTAAATATAACGGTTATTTTGGTTATTTTCATTCCCCGATGTCTGAAATATTCAACCACATTTTGAAGTTCACATTCACTATTGGAGAGGGGAAATTGACTTATTGTCGAGATGCATAATATGGTTCTTCGATCGCATATAATAATAATAATAATAATAAACCGTCTTCATTCATCTTGCAACAATATCAGTTCATAGAATTCATATATGATAATAATTATTGTATTACATAGATCAAGAGACGATTTAAAAGTACCAGGAATCCCTAACTGCGATACTGTAGTGAATTCCTCTGCTGGATTTTTCTGCGTGCTTATATGCTATAATAAAATGTTCTTCTTCAGCCTTCAAGCTGTTCTCAGAATATGCAGACTTTTATTAGTTCTTATTAGCTCGCACATTCCTTTTCGGGAAATTGATATATCGAAATCAGTTTTGAGAACCAGTAAGGAAGATATTTGACCTTGTTTTGATATATACATGATTGAAGAAGAAATATTAGAAAACTTACAAATTTTGCAAAACTTTTGAGGAAGTTGACGTACCCATGAACAATTATTTCCAAATGGGATGTTGATTTCCCTCTCTCACTTGATGAAAGGAAATTTATTTTTGCAATTTTATGTATCACTGATAATTCTTTGTGCGTTGTGATGATTTTTCCTCGATATTGAGTTAAATTCATTGATAGGCTTGGATTTAATAAACTTGTTGTTGTCAGATTATAGTCTATCATGAGGAAACATGGAGAATCGAAGTTATCTCAATCAAGATTCAATGAATTCATCTGCCATAATGAGATCATGCTCTGTGGACACTCGTCACTGTTTATATGGAATATGATATCATCTACTCGTATAATTTTTGTATTCTAGGTCCAGATCGATATCCTCGTCAGACAGTCCTCTCAATTGGGTAACTACACCCGAGTTCCTAATGCAACAGCATAGTTTTCCCTTCCAAGACAGCATATCAAGTTCACCTATCCTGAATTCCAGACAGACACATAAATGCCGAAGGTTCAGCGTAGACCTGAGTCAGATGAGGTAACACCAAAATAGCTTTGTATAGTTCATTCGAACGATGAAGAATAATTTTTCTGCTCAACAAGTTGACTCAAGGTCTCATCATGCCCAAATTCTCATCATCGTTTCAAGGACAACCTATGTTGACCCCAAAAGAGACACAGAATCAGTCAAAACATACTTCTGTAATTTGTTTGGGATCTTCTCTCCTCAATACTACAAATAAAAATATGAGTATCATTCCAATATATGTGTGGTTAGAACAAATCAGATGTAGAACTCAAAAATGTCAATGCATGCTTTTGAAATATTCACTATAAGAATTCCTGATAGATAAATCCAATCGATCGTTGGTTATTGTGTTCTAAAATTTTCAGAGAAGAGAAATGTATGTATCATTCAAAAAAATGTCGAATTCACGTAAATACTTTCTGATCGCCATCTTGAATGGAAAGAGATGTTAGCGAGCAAAAAGTCACAATCACTTCACAACGTCTAACGGTCCATGGCACAATATCAAATCATCAACCATCAGAAGCCAATTCATTTTTTTATTTGTTTAAACGAGGAGAGGAAAAACCCCAAAGTTCCACTGCCTCGATGAAAACATTTCTTTTCGCGTCATGGTCATAGTCTGAGAATAGACTGCAAGATCACCACGTTCATCAAGTATTCAATGAAGATCTAATCTTAACATATATTCATGAATAGGAGAATATCTTTCCATCGGGTCATTATTGATACTCCTCAATTTCTAGAAGAAATGTCATCCATGCGTTCTTCAGACAAAATATATTTCCTTTTACATGTATTTATGTGCAGAACTCGAAAAGTGATGGTTGCTCTTGCGCCGTTGGCCGCAACTTTTTCGCAAGCATCAGGTGTAACTAGAAGCAAATTTCCTTCTGATGTTCATCTTGGAATGACTCTGCCAATGCAGATATGACTGCAAATTGGAGTCGCCAGTTGTCGAAGATCGATTGAACTGAAATAGACATTGGTGCGCAATATCGCTCGTAAGTCATTGCACATGCGTTGAAAGCTGCTGTTCTCACCATAGAATATGGCGCAGACGGTAGTGAATGAACTCGAGAAATTATTCAGTTGATTATATTCAGACAATTTACATTATATCTGAAAAAGTCCGAAGAATCCTCTGTCAATATATTTTTCATGCGACGGAACAATAACTTCAACGATCACCTTTTGAATGATGCCTCATTGAAATCAAGCACATTATATCCTTCATGGCACTAGAAGGCACTTCTTCATTTTATCAAATATTTATACATATCATTAACGATAGAAATAATGCACTCCAAAACAGCGTGATCGTCTGAAGATCAATTAATATCATTATCGTCGAACAGCACTTTACCAAAACTCCGATCCATGGAACGACTAGGCTCTGGAATTCACTGCCTGAGGGAGAATTCCCCACAGCATATTATCTCCAGAAGTTCGAAACAAATTCCAGTACCTACCTCCTGTCCCTATCCTCCCTATAGGAATTTCCTTTCGTGCGCTCCAAGCGATGAAAAAATTACTTGCGGCTACATTTCGATAAGAAACCTGGTGGAAATTTCATTCATCATATGATCTAATCAATCACAAACCAAAAACAACTTGTGTTTTATCGCGAAAACACTATAGTTGTCTTTCAATTCTAATTGGTGTTATCAGCTTTAAAATCACGGATAGCAAAGCAAAGTCTGTCAGTTTGACACAAAATATTTATAGCTGTGGTTGTCAGAATAAATTGCTCTTTCATAATGAACGATTTCAATATTTCGTGAATGTGAAAAAGTCTAGCAAAATACCACTTTCTCCTGAATATTTTTTTATAATTTTGTTTCTCATCGTTCTGATGAGGTGGGGCCCAATTTCGTGGAAATGAAGTGACATAATAATTATCTCGAATATTCAGAGCATCGAGGTATTACTTATGAATACTCGATTAACTTAGTAATATTGCAGTCAGATCTCGTACTATCAATCCATCAATACCACCTGGACTGTTCATGGAAAACTTGTGAGAGACTAAGATTCGGTCAAAACATAATACTCACGTGGACTTCTCGTTATATAAATCGATTTCTGATGCATTCATCAGCGTTCATTTTCTGGAAATCTCGAATCGCTTCTTGACTAATTAGTCAAAATCACAAGAATAATCTAAGATGGCCAAGACAAAGACTCAGGACTACTCTGATCATACTGCTCCTGTAAACTGTAAAGTTAGATGTGGTAACACTGGGATGTATGTGTCGTGTTGTTTCAAATAAGTGAGAACAATTTGCCAAATGACAAATTGACTTAAAGTTTTTGCGTGCCCAAACTCACACATCATGCAAAGCTACCCAGGTAGCCAGACTGACGAATGTGACGTCTATAGGACCGCTATCTAAGGTCTTTTTTGGTCTCATACGTCTTTTGACCAAATTATGACGTCATGCGGACGTCATTAATGTGACGTCTTATGGACAGCCACTGTTTGACGTCGTATAGACGTCAATCTATGGTCTTCATATTTTTTTGGGTATTATCATTATCATTATCATTACTAGTATTATTATTATTATTATTATTATTATTATTATTATCATGTATGTATAGGGAAACGAAGTTATAAAATAAATTATTTGATTTATCTAAATAACTGTATAAATGTATGATAAAAATGTATTTTATTCCATAGGCTTCCCTTGATTTTCAATGTTTAAATTTAGCGCCAAAGACAATTCTCACTTACCGACCAGATGGCCAATGGCGATCAAGTAATCACGCGAAGAGATTGTGTATGCGACTCGCGACCATCTCACGACTGCCGTTTAGTGGCGTTAGTGCCGTTCAGCGGTCCGTTCTGTGGTTCAGCGTCAAGCTTGCATCGTGCATGGTGCGTTCCCGTTCATGTTCATTGTCCATCGTCCATGTTCGAATGGGTGTTGTTTGTGAACGGCGTCTGTGCCATTGGATTTGTTGAGAATGTTAAAATATTGAGTGTTTGAGTGATATTTCTATACAGTCTGTTTTTCACGTGAAAGTATTCAGGATGTATTGTGTAATACAATTCGATGACAGTGGAAGCAACAGTGTAGCTGTTGTTCACGAAACTTGGCTGACGCCGTTGAAAAAGGAAGTGTTTTGGCCGCCATTTAAAGACAGCAAAACATACAAAAGAGCTCTCTGTGAAGGGGAGCCATCGACGCTGAAATTTTCAACTATATGTAATACCTTACATTACTATCTTGTTAATAAAATCTTCATTCGTAGCAAATTTATTTTATAGTACAAATGATTATCTTCCTCACCAGATTATAACCATTAACCTCAAAATTTTATAAAAAAAAAACAGACGTCTTATTGACGTCGGAAATTGGTCAGTAGTGTCAGTTTAAGGTCCAATTTGAAAACACATACTGACGTCTAAAAGACTTTGGAATATGACGTCATTTGGATGTGTCTTACTTACGTCATTTGGACGTCGCATTTGTTGAAATAAAGACGTCTTTTGGCCGAATGTGATGCCGTCAATTAGACGTCATATAGTCGTCATGTGCTACCTGGGTATTCACTCAAGGACGTGCTTAAATGACCTTGAGAGAGACCCAGAACCGTCATAAACACACTACTGAAGACTTTCTGTCTGTCTTTCGATCATCACTATGCGATGCTTGGAAAATTCAATTTTTTGCTCTTTGAGCATGTTTTTGTGAGGTATGGCCAATTGGTCAATATTACAAGGTTAACCTATAATGATCTTGAAAACCAATTTGAATAGAATTTTAAGACTTCTTGTCATGATATCGATAACAATGAGATGCATTCATCAGCACAGATTCGCCCAGGTTCGCACGATGTTCGACACAAACATAATAGGGATTATCTCTCGTATGGTGGAGCCTTTTTATATCTCTTCCTACGACTACTACTGTAAGTGATGGATATTTTACACAAAACAATGTCAGTAAGCTTCTCCTTACACACGTGTGCGTAAAGAGAGCGATCGCACGGTTTTCATAGGTATGTTGATAGATGACTTTGTTTTGTTGCTTAGGCGATGTGTCAATAACAATTAACAATGTCATTAATGTCAATAGCTAGGTGGGTAGGTACTTATCTTTTTATCGATCAATCCAGCTATCCACCGAAACCGAAAGCATCAGGTAGGTTATATTTTTTGAGAATATGATTATTTTCCAGTTTGAAAAAAATGATTCAAGCGATGACGATGAGCAGATTATTTCCTCACCACCAGAAATGTTGGAAAAAGCTAGAATGGTGAAAAATGAGTTGCTACCCGCTAAGTCTCTAATGATACGAAATAGCACATCAAAAACTCCTGGACTTGAGAATTAGAAATAATACCGTGTCAATTTCGAAAAATATCCTTTCAGTATAATTTCAAGAATTATCAAATGCGATGAAATCATCATCACTCTGGTCGATATATTCCTTGTTACGATCAACACTAAATATCAATAACGATATTAATATAGCAACATATCCCATTTCCTCAAAAGGGAAAGATGGATTCCGAAGTAAAAAATCGAAAATACTTAATGCTGCTTAATTATTTTCTGCAGAATGCTCCTGTTGAAGGTAATTTTTCAAATGACATACATACTCAACATTGAATTGATGAATTCCTTTTTCTTCAAATAACAGGAATAATTAAAAGAGATCAATCATCAGTAGCTCATCAGTTGTTGGAAGCGCTGGCTCCGAAACCAGAGGGCGGTGGTTCAGAGCGCAGTTAGTTGGAGAACTTTTTTCTATTATTTTTAATGACGATTACAGAATCTCTCATGCTTCACTATTACAAATAAATAACCATTATGGATGTTGATTTTATATCTTTATAGAATGTGTTAATGATAGAATGAAAAACGGCAATGTATCAATGAACAAACACAAGAATTGTGATTTGTAACGTTTCATGCAGCTGGCTTAGTGACGGGAGACGTTTTATATTGGTATTCGTTATTTGTGCCTTAATACAATATCTGCACTATCCGGAAGAAAATATAGTGTAGTCGTAGGAAAAGTATAGTACAATTCTCGAGTTGTAAAGCAATTACGCACTTGTGGAGTTACACACTCGCCGCTATGCGGCATCGTGTGTAACTCTCTCCAGTTCGTGCGTAATATGCGTTTTACAACTCTTGTTATGTAATATACTATTGTTGGCTTTCTACAGGATCTTTACAAAGTTATAGAAACATACCTGGTGTCGAGGAATCTATTAGACAAGCCATAACTTCTAGAATATTCGGTGTATCTAAATGAACATTTTTGCATATTTTTTACTTACCGGTTACTTCTGGTATCACCGGAAATTGCTTCGGTTCTGAATTTTGAATTGAACTTCCTGTGTATTATGACATTCTTGAATTTCTGAGGTAATTCTGGATCAGAATATGACATTTCCAGGAGTTTTACGCCCATACTTCATCTCTCTACAGTCACTTTTGATTTTTCATCTAGGTTGCCATGATCGGACGTAAACGTATCTTAGGTCCTCAGGTGATGTCAAAAAATTATGATCTCGAAGTTTCAGTGACTAGCATGATAGATATGATGAAGACAAGCAAAAATTACATTTTCGTGTCTGACTATGATTTTTCGGAAATTAACCATTGTTTGAAAAGCACTTTGCGAAAAAAGGGTTTTCTTGACTAACCTGAGCATACTAATTTATTTGCGATTGGATTGCAAATAGGAGAATTAATTCATTATTACTAAGGAAAATACTAGACATCTATTCATTCTCATTTGTCAAATGTGCCAATGATAGCCATGACGCTGTTACAGTTATTTTTTCCTAATTTTTTATCCTAATCGATAACTATGGAACAATCATACTCGCCAACTTACTGATATTTTTTTCACTTAGTCATTTCTAATGTTTATTTTTTTTTCAGATCCCTCCGTCTATTCTTCAGTGATAATAACTTCACATGTGGACAAGTTGTTGTTGCTTCGCGCGAATCTCAGTACAAAATACTACATTTTCATCATGGTGGTTTGGATCATTTAGCTCAAGTATTACATCAGTGGCATTCTTTGCTGCACAATATCAAATGTGCAAAAGGTTTGTGTCAAACGCATATTCTTCTACAACCAATCAATAAAGTAGTTCTTAACGCGCTTCCAAATGTAAATACAAAACTTACGCGAAGAGAGAGGAACTCAAAGTCATTACCACAATAGTTCTTGAAATAAACGAGAATGGTATGTATCGAGAGGAAAACAACCACTTTCCTGGCTATGTGTCACGCAAAACATAGGATCTAATCTTCCGGGTGGATGAACTATTGTGGTACTGATTTTGAGTTTTTCTCTCTTTGTGACCATTTCATTCCAATTTGAGTATTTGGCTTTTTACTAGTTGAAAATACGCTAATAGGGCAGCCAGCCACTCCCATTTCACCTGAAATCATTGAATCAATATACAGGGTGGTCCGTTTTTTGATACGGAAAATCTAACAGCGTATAGTACTCGGCGTTGAAATGATGAAAAACTCCCTATGAACATATACTTTTAAACGCTTCGTTTTTGACATATTTGGGTGTCAAAAATACGCTTCTGAATATATTTTTTTAATCAAAAGTTAGAAACGGTAGATAAATTAACGACATTTTTCACAGATACTAAACTTTTTGAGCTTTATCAGATTGAATAAAAATTATTCATAAAAACTATTCAGTGGCGGCTGAATCTGGGGTGGCGAAGGTAATAATTACACAAATTTTTCGGGTAATTATTTTTCATTTATGTTTCAAGTTTCAATGAAAAAAGCTCGCTTGTAAGATTTTATAACATTTTTTAGTTTAATAATACTACTTGATATCAATTAAAGAAGTAGGCTATGCTCAGTTGCTCACTGTTCACTGTTTATATGTGCTGTCACTCAAAGAAATAACAAACTGGAGTTATTCCGTGTTTTAATCAGAAAGTGTAATAATTTTATTCCAATTTTGCCGATTGTCAATATGCCTATGGGATTTAGTTTCTAACTTTTGATTAAAAAACTATATTTATTCTGAAGCGTATTTTTGACACCTTATATCTCAAATACTAACTAGTAAGAATGTACTAGCTCGGCAACATTGAAGACAAATAGCAGGATATCCACTGCGCCCAGATAGCACACACTCGCCTAAGGTCATCCTCAATGTGTCGCCAAACGCCTGGAGAGGACGTTCTATTTTCTACAACCTAAGAACATCATCAGGCGTAAATTTAGCGCTGTAATTGTCCTAAATGAGTTCTTTCAGTGACAGCCTGAGGATGTAAAGAATTTCGTGCCTACGGACGTCTTCAGATGATATTCCATGAAATAACGTGTCATCAAAGACACAAGGGAGAAAAAGAAGAACTAGAATTGAGGTTATGTCTCATGATAGTCATGATTTGTTCAAGATACATCATAATATTAATGATTATATCAAAATCATTAGAGTATTCATTGAATACCTCCATCATGCATTCATCAAATTTCTATTTCACAAAATGATTGCGAGAAGAACTTATTGCACAGAATTAAAAGATAACAATAACAAAAGGATGATAATCTCTGTTGATGACATTTCTCTCAGGTAGCAAGAAACAAAGGTGAGTAAATACTTAATAGAATCATTGATAGTACCGGACATGAAATATTGATACATTCATTTACATTATTCATTGTTTCAGGAGGTTATTGAGAACACAAACTTGATGATATCATCATAGCAAACATGTTTTATTCCAAGATATCTTTGCTTCTTCAGAATCTATAAAATATTGTATGGAAGCTTGAACATTCAGTATGAATTCAATAAAGGTAGGTACCTGAATCAAATCATTGATATAGTAGGTACTGGACATGAAATGTTAATAGGTTAATTATTTGTTTCAGATGAAGTTATTGAGAACACAAGATTGATGATGTCATCAGAGCAAAGATGTTGCATTCCAAGATATTTTGGCCTCTTCGAAATCTATAGGCGTTTTCGGAAACTTACTCTGGGTTGTTGACTCGATCTGAACGGGTCACGTGATGGATCAGTCGGATCACTTATCCTAATACTATAGTTTACGAACTTATCAGGTTACTATTTTATTGAGTTAGCTTTATACCTCTTCGAATAGAACTTCTTGATTTCTCACGTATGCAATTTTTTCAGTTTGCTATGCGATATCAATATTTTCTGATCAATTTCTCCATATCTTTAAACACATACCACTGAACTCTTCAAAGATACACGTTATTATTGTTCTAGAAATGATGAATATTGCTTCTGCTCATGATGTTGGTGTATTTTCATCATCAAACTAATGCTATTCAACATAATTTACTTCTTGTTCAATTGATGAAATCGAATAATATCTGAATTGACCTTAGAAATACATGAATCGTGAGTAATTCTGTGGTAGTGAGTGTATGATCTAAGGTAGTAACTCTGGCTAACCCTGCTTTGGAGCAGGGTTGCGAAACATGAACCCGAGTTAGTGATCGAGTAAGTAACACCGAAGTTTCCGAACATGGGTATGTTACTCGGGTTAGGTAAACGAACGTGCAGGTTAGTGATCGAGTCAACCCGAGTAGGTTTCCGAAAACGCCTTATGATGGGATTGTATATTATTATGCATGTTTGCACTTTCAGTATATTCAATAAAGGTAGGTACCTAAATCAAATCATTGATATAGTAGGTACTGGAGCATAAAATATTAATAGGTATATTATTTGTTTCAGGAGGTTATTGATAACACAAAATGATGATATCATCAGAGCAGAGATATTTTATTCCAAGATATTTTGGCTTCTTCGGAAATTATGAAAGATTGTACATAATGCAGACTTGAACTTTCAGTAGATTCAATAATGGTTGGTACCTTACTACATAAATCATATCATTGATAGTTAGTACTGGACATAAAATATTAATACATTGTTTGTTTCAGATAGTTTTGCTTCTTCAGAATCTATAAAATATTGCATGAAGGCTTCAACTTCCAGTTGATTCTGTATCAGGAATGTCCAGGATTCAGAAATCAAAAACAACATGGAGAAATATAACTACCAATAGGCAATAACTTCTAGTAGTGCTCAACAAGAAGCTGAAATACATTTCTTCAAAAAGGAAATTGAAATTTTTCAGAATAAGTTATAAATAATAGAATGTAAGTTTTTCATTTGGTTTTTCATTTGAACCTATTATAAATAGAGGGAAATTTTGCAAATATCATGAGATCCACATTATTTTGAAGAAATTATCATTTCCATAATACAAGGTGAGTCAATAGTGTGTTATCCATGTATATATTAGCCAAACCATCAGATAAATAGAGAAAATTCAAGTACAACAGTAATAGGGTTTCATGAGAACTTTCACATTAAATTGGGTATTTGAATTCCAAGATATATTGACTGATGATTGTTTTTTTCCAAATGGGTCACCCTGTATACTATTGCATTTTTAGGTTCTCCATGAAGAGCTGATTTCATCAATGTATCACACTTGGGGTCTAGCGGGAATGATTACAGAGATATAGGGTGTTCAAAAACAAGATTTTTCAATTTTAGGATTTTTTTTTTGTGGAAACTATTCAATATTGGTCAAAACGGCTCACATTTCCTTATGAACTTTTGATTTACTATCTAATGACATTCAATCGGAACAAATAGAGGGTGGTTCAACATTCAGAATACTGATCAGCTTATTGTATCTGTTCCAAATAAATATCAGTAGATAGCTAATCAAAAGTTAAGACAGGGACATGAGTGAGCCGTTTTGACCATTAATGATTAGTTTCGACACAAAAAATCCTACTTTTGAAGAATCTCGATTGTCAACACCCTATATCTCTGTAATAATTCCCACTAGACACCAAGTGTGAACTCTTCAGGGAAAACTCAAAAATGCAATAATATACAAGGTGTTCCATTGAAAAAAACCAATCATCAACCGATATCTTGGAATTCGAACACCCTATAGATATGAAAACAACTTTAGGTGATTGTTCTTATGAAACCCTATTACTGTTGTACTTGAATTTTCATTTTATATATCTGACGGTTTGGCTTATATCGGAGGAGAACACACTAGTGACTCATTCTGTGTATGAATAATATTCTCCCATAAATCTTGAACCTAATTGAAACATCATCAAAAACCGCCTCAAGTTGTTACTATGATGTCCTGAGGTTGTCTCAAAAGATTTTATAGAGATGTTCTGAGACGTTATTAGTATGTAGAGAATGGTAACAGGAGGACGTCTTAAGAATGTCCTCTGGCTCGCTCTCGACGTCCTGAGGACATTATTGTGAACGCCTCAGAAGGGCCTCAAAAGGAATTTGTGCTATCTGGGCGGTCTATGGCCTGTTGAGGCTCTTCTAATACGTAAATGATTGATTTGCAATGGTTACATGTTTGGTCTGGTAAACGGCCAATGCTAACTAGATTTAATACATTACAATGTTTCTTTCATTGGGTTGCATAGGTTCGATTTTTATTTTTCCTTCTGAAACGAAGCTATTAGATAGGAAATCTGAGAGGACAAAAAAATTATATTTCGAAATGCACGCCCCTGAAAATATGTAACTCCCCAGCAAACATTGAACTAGCGGGAGAAGTCCGGCCTAGTGCAGGTTAGTCCGGGAAAGTGACGATGCCGGGGTATTGGCAAGGTGACGATTCCGATACGGCACCTGGTGGGCAAATTTGAACCAGTTTAGGACGTAATTCAAGGTCATGTTTGTTGTTGTGTTAGTGGGTTTCATATTTTATGAATACCACTCAACAAATTACGTAAATTTTCTCTTCTTGCTTCTCTTGAGTACAAGACATGAACTTTATATCAATTGCCTAATCAATTCTATATTATTTTATAAATTAGTATCAACAAATCTCTGATAATACGCGAAATCAACTGTGTTTGGTTGCTGGTTGAACTAGTAGAAGGTTCCAATGGAAAAATGTAGGACCTATAATGCCCTCTAATATGAATTTCCTGCACTCAAGAAGTCTTTTCTGATAATGAAAAATCAGTTCAGTTGAATGGAAAAAATGGATAAACGTTGAGAATCCAATATGAGTTTGAAAAC